TCTCTCTCTCTCTCTCTCTCTCTCTCTCTCTCTCTCTCTCTCTCTCTCTCTCTCTCTCTCTCACTCATCTTTTTGTCATACTCTCTACCCCTTTGTTTCTGTCAATCGAGAGAAAGAGCACCAGTGATATTTCCCCCTAAAACCTGACTGACGCTCTCCCACGATACTACTCTCCTCGTCTGCGCTACCCCTCGCCTTCCTTCTCTCCTTCCAACCCCACTCACCAAGCTTTGGACTACTACCACTGCTCCTGCCCTAAGAGATCGCACCGCCTATGATCCCCCCTTCTCACGTAACCACCACCTGCCGGTTCCCTTTTTGACAATTGTCTACCTCTGCATTTCGCACCTCACACTCTAACAACGAGTAGCTCCCCCCATAGCTACCCTATTCCCCCCTCTCCCCTAACACCATTACCCCCACAAGCCCATTGCCTTTCGATAACCCCAACTATAACCCACCGCCTCCGTCCCTAACTAGCAGAGATGCTACACCATTGCCCTACCTTTTACCCCCTATCCGACAACACCATGACCACAACCCCGCCCCTCCCTTTCTAACATCACCATTCCTACAATCTCCATTCCTTCCCCTCCAACACCATTGCCCCCCCCCGCAATCTCACCTCCTTTTGGGAGCTTGCTGCTAGCCAGTTTGACGCTACCTCCTCACTCCTCTCTCTTTGACACTGTAGCCCCAACCATCCTCTGCTCTGCCACAAGCCCCCTCACTCTTCCTGGCCTCTCCGACGCTGCTACCCACCTGACGTCGTCAATGTTAAAGATCAACACTAGCCCATTTCAAAGCCCAATCTATTTTCAGCCCAAGGAAAATAAAAGACCAAATCCATTTCATCTAAGCCCAAGATAATGGAACTTCTCAACAAATGTGGAAGAAATATTTTTTTAAGAGAAAATTGTAGAAGGATGTAGAAAGAAGATCTTTTAGGAGAAGTGTGTAGAATGTGGTAATAATGTATGGTTAGGATATTGATTCTTCCACACACTTCCTAGCCCTCTTAAACAACTATAAATAGGGGTCTTGATCTCTCATTTGGGCAAGCAAGCAAGTAAGCAAGAAGTGAGCTTGAAAGCTTGAGTGTGTAGTGTAGCATTGTGTGAGTGTCCACCAAAATAAAGGAGTTGTGTAAAGTGATGTGTTCTTGTAAGAACAAGTGTTGTATTCTCTAGTGTTCTATCAATAAAAGTTTCCTTTGTGTAGAGTGTTGTATTCTACAAATTCCATCAAAGTGGTATCAGAGCAATGTTTGATCTAGTCGGGCCAATCGAAGGTGCTCGTGTACGAGATGGCGAACATGATCCAGCCACAGATTCTAAAGTTGATAAAGACTAATTACGATAACTGGAGTATCCAGGTGAAAGTCTTGCTTGGCTCGCAAGACTTGTGGGAGCTCGTGGAGAATGTCTACACTGAACCAGAGTCACCTGCAGCAGAAGCAACTCTCACCGTCACACAGAAGAGTGAGCTGAAGGAGGTCAGAAAAAGAGACAAAAAAGCTTTGTTCCTAATATTCCAAGGCGTAGATGAATCAACGTTTGAGAATATTTCCAGCACCCTGTCCTCTAAAGAAGCATGAGAAATTTTACAAAAATCCTATCAAGGTGCAGAAAGAGCTAAAAAGGTACGCCTCCAAGCATTAAGAGTTGAATTTGAAAATTTGAAGATGAAAGCTACAGAATCAATATCAGACTATTTTAGTAGAGTTCAGACAAGAACTAATCAAATGAAGAGAAATGGAGAAGCAATTAATGATGTAAGAATTATGAAGAAGATACTTAGGACTTTAGACTCTAAATTCAAATATATTATTCCGGCAATACAAAAGTCTAAAGATCTTTCCGAAGTTTCTATTGATGAGCTTCAAGGTTCTCTGCAAGCTTATGAACAAGATATAAACATCAGTTCAAATCAAGCGGAGAATCTAGAGCAAGCCTTGCAGAGTAAGATGAGTATCAAAGAAGATAGTCGAAGAGGAAGTGGAGGCTACAGAGGTAGAGGCTCTTTTAGAGGTGGCTCGAACTTCCAGCAAGGTCATAGGAGACGGTACTAAGGAGGCCATGAAAATCAAGATCGAAATGGAGATCGTGAACAATCGTTCGATCGAGGACGAGGTCATATCGCACAAGGACGAGGACAAGGAAGAAGTTACCAGGAGGACAAATCTCAGCCATAGTGTTACAAGTGCAAGAGATACAACCATCTCAGCTATGAATGTTAGGAGAAATCAAATCAAGTGGCAGAAAGAAGTAACTTTATAGAAAGAGAGCAGCCAGACACTTCAACAGTCTTGCTGGCATACCAGGAGAGTGAAAGCAAGAGTAACGATATCTGGTATCTGGATTCAGGTGCCAGTAACAACATGTGCGACATCAAGGAGTTTTTCACCGAGCTGAACGAGACGGTACAAGGATATGTTACTTTTGGATACCAGTCAAAGATTCCAGTAAAGGGCAAGGGTAAGATAATGATCCAGACAAAAACGGGCGAGAATATGTACATCTCTGATGTCTATTATGTTCCAGCACTATAAAATAATATTTTGAGTCTAGGCCAGCTCTTTGAAAGAGGCTATGATATACATCTAAAAGACCTTGCCCTCACTATCAAGAATAAAAATGAAGTAATTGCGAGGCTATGATATACATCTAAAAGACCTTGCCCTCACTATCAAGAATAAAAATGAAGTAATTGCAAAGGTGAACATGTCTCGAAATCACTATCAAGAATAAAAATGAAGTAATTGCAAAGGTGAACATGTCTCGAAATAGACTGTTTACCTTAATATTCATATTGACCCTGTCAAGTGCTTAAAGATGATTATGAAGGATGAGTCTTGGCTCTGGCATTTGAGATTCGGGCATCTTGGATTCAGTGGCCTGAATCTTCTGTGGAAGGAGAAAATGATGAAAGGATTGCCGCAAATCAACCATCCAAACCAGCTATGTGAAGGTTGTATGAAGGGAAAGCAACATAGAAGTTTCGAAGTTGGAAAGTCAAGAAGAGCAACAGAGCTTCTACAATTGGTCCACACAGATATTGCAGGACCATTTGAAGTCATCTCTCCTGGAGGAAATAGGTACTTTCTCACATTTATTGATGATTATAGCAGAAAACTTGGGTTTATTTCCTGAAGAAGAAATCTGAAGCTCTAGAGAAATTCAAAGAATTCAAGGAGATGGTAGAAAAGCAAAGTGGGTACCACATCAACGTGCTCCGATCAGATCGAGGTGGAGAATACACTTCGAAGGCATTCACCAATTATTCAACAAGTAGTACGGGATAATTCATCAACTCACTGCCGCCTACACACCACAGCAAATTGGCATAGCAGAGCGGAAGAATCATATCATTCTTGATATGGTCAGAAGCATGTTGAAGAGTAAGTACCTGCCGAAGACTTACTAGGCTGAAGCCATGGACTGTGCAGTTTACCTCCTCAACCGATGTCCGACAAAGAGCGTCAAGTTCAAGACACCATTGGAGATGTGGAGCAACATCAAGCCAAGTGTCAACCACCTGAAGGTGTTTTGGTGTATTGCATATGCACACATCCCGGAGCAGAAAAGAAAGAAGTTGGACGATCAAGGAGAAAAGTGCATATTCGTTGGGTACGAGAGGAGGACAAAAGCATACAAGCTACAATCCAGTTACAAAGAAGATGATCATTTCAAGAGACATGGAGTTCAATGAAGAAGATTATTGGAAATGAACCGATGAAGAAAAAAACATTAAAGGTATGTTCTTTGAAGATAATGATAATGACTTATAGGAGGTTGGAAGACCATAATAAAGTCTACCAGATAGTCCAACTCCATCAACCTCAACATCGACACCGACATCATCACCATCTAGCTCAAGTGAAGGAAGCTATTTAGGGGGAGCAACAAGGAGGACGAGAAGTCTAAGAGATCTGTACGACGATACAGAACTTGTCGAGATGATGGATGACTACACACTATTCTTCTTCTTTGCAGAATGTGATCCGGTCAGCTATGAAGAAGCTGCTCAAGAAGACAAGTGGAGAAAAGCCATGGATGATGAGATTGAGGCAATCAAGAGAAATGACACATGGGAGCTCACCACCTTACCTGAAGGCCATAAACCCATTGGAGTAAAGTGGGTGTACAAGACAAAGACAAATCAAGACGGCGGAATCGAGAAGTACAAAGCCAGGTGTAGGCTGTCTAAAAATCATGATAGATAGCTAGTCGCTATCAAATCTCAATCAATATTTCAATAATGAAAGTTACAATCAAATGACTTTCATGAAAGCTGCAAGTGGAGGACTTTTCACATAGATGGAGAGGAGTTACAATTCAACGACCCTTCCGGTGACAGATAAAAACTCTATTCAGTGGCCTCTTACCATCAACTGTGAGAGTTACAATTTGACGATTTTCACACCTCAAGACGGCTAAAGTGAAGATTACTGAATAATGGTCTTTGTAATGCTTTACAGAAGAGGTTACAAGTCACTAGCCCCTTCTAAACGCAAAACTCACCTTTGTGTTTTAGTTCTTGTAACGCAGGCGACCCCCACATTTCCAACCCGCAGCAAACGAAACGCAAGTGGCCCTTGCGTTTTCAGCATCCAGCAGACACCCAACTATGCGTCTAAATTCTAAGACGTAGAGTTAGGGTCCCGAACGCCGACTTGGGCATTTGATTTCTTCAAACACAAGCTAAACGGCTTTAGAACCATATATCCCATGTTTTGAGGGATTCTCGCCCACGTTGGAGCGGATTAAGCGGTTAGTTACACCTCTTATCCTTCTATAAAACCCCAACAAACTCAACAGAGTAAGGGGTTAGATTTTTTTTGGGTGAGATTTTTTAGTTTAGATTCTTGGAGTTCGGATTAGCTATTTCTTCTTGGAGATCTAGGGGCAATCATCCTCAAGAGATTGGATCCATTGCAACAAGAAGATCAAATCTTGGAGCATCCTTCAGCAACAGAAAATCTATTTGGCTATTAACCTAATTTTCGGTTCAAACAACTCTGTTTGACAGAGTTTCAACTCGTTCTGAGTTCTTAAACTCGTTAAGAGTTCTTTTTCAAACTTGACACAGAAGTTAATTGTTCTAGTGAATTGAGACATTCAGATCGTCAACGGAGAGCGAATTCGACGCTAGCATTCGAAGGAGGTACTCCATTGCCACCGTGAAGAACCCAGAATTAAACAAATAGGAGAATTCAAATCAATTCTCTTCTTTTTTGTAATCAAGAATACGAATTATAACTGAGATTGAGAGAATTGTAATCATTCTTTTTCTAAGCAGTTAGAGAGAATAAAAATCAAATCGAATTCTTTCATCTTTTTCTTATTACAACTTTTCCACCAAACAAAAGATAGCGAGTCCGCTGGGGATAAGCTTCTCTGACGAAGAAGTGGTGACGTAATCCGATGTTCACCTCACTGGAACAACTGTCAAAACTCTCGTTGTAGAGTTTGATCAAGCTAAGTATGAGGAAGCCCTCTCCTCTAGATCGTTTAGCCCCAAGGCAAGACACAATGTCCGCAAGATCCCTAAAGAGATCAAAGCTCTAATTATTGCTGAAATGCCAAAGAAAGCCCTCTCCTTTGGCCAAGATTCATCAGACAGCCCCTCCTCTAAAGGAGTGGGCTTAGCCTCTGCTAAACTCGTTCAACGAGTTAAAGCTCCACACCCGCACCAACACGGTGTATAACGGGTCATAAAAGGTCTATAGTGGAGGAAGATCCAACCAGCACCAACGACGTTACTGCCAAGGCTTTGAAACAAGCCAAGAAGAATACTGCTCGACGAAGGAGAAGATCCATACGGTGAGCACACTTACGAAACAGTTGATCCTTTGCCCAATGCGAAGATCGCGTTTTTGAGTCTCTGCCCGAGTGCGGTGTTTCTACCTCTGAACGCATACTTCGTGGTAACGAGACTAATTATGAGCCTCGCGTAATGCAACTTAAACACGACCCTTAGTAGCGCGTTGTTCATCCAAAACTCAGTTCCCAAGAAAGTGTTTCTAAAGATAAACGTACACCCCAGGGGTGCGTTCAATTAAAACATGACCCTCAGGGGTCTGTTTCATCAATCAAACGTACACCTCAGGAGTGCTTTCAACCACAACATGACCCTCAAGGGCACATTTCATCTCAGAAATGTAGGCCTCAGCCTAGCGTTTATAAATCAAAACGCGACTCTCGCGTTTCTTATGCAGAACGCAAAGTGGTCCGTCAAGTTCAGAAAAATCAGCATGGATTTCAGATTCATGTTCTTCAAGAGCTGGTCCCGCCCACTAACATACAGGGGGTTCCATCTTCATCCTCACACTCTATGATAGATCCTCCCCAAGTCTCTGATTTACGAGAATTGCTGTCTAAAGGGCGACCTGCACAGCAAGCAGCTCATTCATGCCAATGTGAGAGACTTATTTCTACAGTCCTCTCAAAATGCCACTGTTGCACATCTGAACCTCGACAATCGGTGTTTGACCGATTGACAAGCGTCGCCAGGCTTGCCAAGTGATAACGTCATCATAAGAAGAAGATTCTTGAAAATGAATATCCTAAAGTCACCATTAACGTGATTGGCAGAGGAAAGGCTTCAGTTCTTAGTCCTGACGAATCGGAGAGAAGTCATTCCCCGACTGTCCAGGAAATTTATGATGAGTTAGAAGGAGTACATTGGCACACTCGGACTCGCACATGAGCTATCAGCCCAGTTAACTATCAAAGATTAGCCAAGGGGATTGCTTCAGATGATGAACATTCAGCAATTGCAGATTCTTAATCCTCAAGCTCCGTCGTGGCACGTGAGACTCCCGTTTACATGGCTGGAAGCTCCGACGACTTAGCAAAGAGAGTTGACGAACATCACGTCATACTCTAGGAACAGCAAGAAACACTTCTCCAGATGAAGGAGATGATGGCCCAACTCCTTACAGAAAGAGGCCAAAAGCCTGAATCTTCTCGGAGGACAATTTTAAAGGGAAAGCAGAAGGCACATGAGAATTCAGATCGAGAAACCCATAATTTGGAGTGTTCCTCTGAAAATGAGAAAGAGATAGAA